AGTTCCTTTCGTGGTTGCCAAGTAACCAGTATGGAGCCAATGACAAAAGTTTAAGATTCAAGATTTGTCATTTAGGGATGAACGAACAGATGACAGTACGAGGGAGTGGGTGAAAGTTTGTCACCAAAACATGTATTAATACACAGAACTATTTTACTACTGGTATCAAGACACATGGTCACCTCTGTGGAACGATTTGAATATTTGAGAAAAACGAGACAAATTTGAAGTGTTTTTAGTTGGACCTGAGATAGTCATGAATGATATCCATTTATAATTAAAAAATAATATAAAATATAATGTTTCAAAAAACAATTAAAATCCAAAATGCCATAAAAGCAAAATTAAGAATATAATAATTTGAAAGTATTAAATTTCATTTTTAACTTAATGTAATAACTAAAATCATTTGGCTACAAAGAGTGACTGATTTGAGACTAACACTGAGCTACAATTTAGTCAAAAGACTAAGATCGCAACTGTACGAGGACCGTCGATAAAACTGCAGAGTGACTGCGATAAATCTAAGGTGGATAAAAGAGGAGTTTAAAAAAGGGTGTAAAAAAAAGAGGTATAAATCATTTTAAAGCTAAGCTTCTATAAAAATAATGAAAGTAAACACAATTACGTTAGCAAAAAATAGCCTTTACAGAAACGAAGCCTCAGGATTTACGATGATATTACATAAAAAGTACAGCGGCAACAATGAACATAATGTTTTATTTTATTTCCCACTGTCAAAATAATGTGCAACGACAACGAACGTGAAGAAAGTTTAGTTCAGACAAATGAGTCAAAAACAGTGTATATTTAACCCCTACTTGTGAATTATTTCTCTTTTTTAACTTGTTAAACATAATTAAATTGAACGAGAATACCGTTAAGGGCTCATTAATTAAAGGTCCTTTAATTTAAGCCGTCTATGCAGTGCCTCTCAGTTGGTAACATTAAAAAAAAAAAATTCTACTAAGTGACTATAAAAACCAGCAATTGAAAGCCGATTATGAATCCATAAAATCTAAACGACACTCGGCTCAGGTCTAAACCCCTGACTCGGGGTCGTTGTGCAGATTGGGTGTCGCCGTAATTGGTGCAGCTTTGGTCGCGAAGGTTACGGCCATTACAGGCGAGCGTGGGGAGGCATAAGTGCACGCGTCGTGGCTCCGACTGTGTCTGAAGTGGAGCAGGGAACGTATGGGGGCCCGGCTGCTCACCGTGACCTGGATCTTAATGAGGGGGACAAATCAATATCACAGAAGAACGGTGGTCACCGCAGACAAACATTGTCTCAGTTGTGACCGTCGTGTGTTCAGGTCAATTCACTTGCAATTAAAAACCAATCTGAAGAGATTGGATTGACTCACTGTAGCAACAAGGCTCTTTAATCTACGCCTGAATACCCTTGGTTCATTTGTAAATTTAAAGATAATTCTCAATTTCTAAATACTTGTCCACATCATCATGTCCTGTAAATTACATTAATTTTATGTGCCCCCCCAAAAAATAAATTATTTTTATATATTATTTTTATCAAGTCCAAAGGTCCCAAGACAAATGTCTTGTTTCAAAAAGTTCCAAACTAAAATTGTTATGACATCTCTCTCGGGTCTCATGAACATCTTTGATCTTAAAGTTTCATCTCTGTAAAATTCATCAGTTTTTTATTTTAATTATTTAATCAGGATTTTGGAAAATCATAAAACTAGGATAAAAAAACATTTTTAAGATAACTTAAATGGTAACACTACACTAGATTGCAAAATTTAATCAAAATTCGTTTTTTATTGACTTGAGCAGGGACATTGAAATCTTATTTCAATTATTTGAACTTCAAAATCTGTCGACTAACTATATCTTCTTTGACTTTTCTTCTGTCATGAAAACTCTTATTTCACCTCAGGTGACTTGGACTTGGACTCTTTTTTATATGCAAAGACAAAAGACAGGGTAAATAAATCAGATTATAAGTTAGCTCGTACCAGTGCAGCATTTAGTGTAGCAACACAAAATGTGTTTCAAGATCCGGTAGCAACACAGACTGAACGCACGTCTTCAAGTTATTAGCCATCAGATTATGTGATTAGTAGAGCAAAATGAAACACCTCTCCCAGGTGTCAGTCTTGATTAACATATTCACACCGACATTTAAAACGGCAGTAATTTTCACTTCTAATAATTGATGCTTATGAGTTTGGCACATTTCACTAGGGGCAAAGAATCAGAAGCAAGTCATTTGAAATGTAAGAAAAGGTATGTACATATATTTTAAGTTGAATCTTGTCAAAGGTGGTCCTTATTTCTTTTGGCATTCCACAGGCGTAATAAAAAGAGGAGTCTAACAGTAAGACACGAAGGAACAAAAAAAAAAAACAAGAGAAACGTACGTTTTATCTAACATGAGTTCGCTGTAGGAAGGGAACATTCCCGGAGTTTTGACAAATACGGAGTGAAATGACAATGGCTGGGAGATGCCCTGGGAGAGAGGCAGCCTTTGGAAAAAGCAAAAACTCCATTTGTAGTTGAAAAGAACAGTGGCTGTTGTCAAGGCGTCTGACTTGACAATTACACGAGTGGTGAAAACGGCGCTGCGCCTCTGCTGATAACCCGCTGGATTCCATTAAAACGGCGACACTCCAGAAGAACGCTCAAATGGAGGAAATTATCATACACACACACGCAGAGGCACGCGCAAACACACACACACACACGGAGACAAAGTCAGAAACCCACTGACAGCGACTCCTTTTGCTTGAATATACATACTTTAAGAAAGTGAAGACAAACTGGAAGGAGAACAGACACAATGGAGGGAATTCAAACAGTCTGAGTAACAGGTGCAGACTGAGAGTGAATACAGAGTCACTGCGGTGTTTCATAACTGCAGCTTCAAAAGCCATTATTATCCCTAGGTCGGCCCTTAGGCTACAAGTAGCAGCTTCCTGGTGAATAGGCAGCAAACTTTTCCTACACAAAGAGAGTACAGCATTGAACAGCAGGCAGTTTCAATTTGGAGCGTCAATCCTGACCACCAATAGTCCAAATTTAGTCAATAAACTTTAGTCAACTTTGTTTGATGGAATGTAGTTGACCAACATGCAAAATATTTACAAAACTTATTATAAAAGGTATGGGCTTTTAATCAATCTGATATGGAGTATTAATATACAATAAGGATATGTTTGTTTTTATATATATGAATATAGATAAATACAATAATATATGTATATATTAACTATACACATACCTGTGCTTGTATTTAGAAATGCATATATGACTTCCAGAGTCATATATGTGTATATGTGCAGTTTGTGTATATGTGTATTTATATATACAGTACATATAAACACACACACATGCTTTTGTATATAGTGTATATTTAAGTTGTACAATATAAAACATTTCCAATCAGACTGATCACTGGGAACCTGTTGATTAATCACAAAGTTTCTGATTAGTTGTGATTATAATTGGTCATAATAAATCAGGATTATTTCAGACAACATTCCTAAATAATAAATAATAATAATCCTTTATATTGCTGAAACAGAGAGCAGTAACAGCAGGTTGATGTTTGTTGGTTTGATTGGTGACTAATCTAAATGATGGTGTCATTAATATTGGAAAATGTCAAGAAAATGATGCAAAGCTGAAAATGGTTGGTTAAACAGTGACTGTGCCACTCATTAGAAGTTTCACTGTCGATGCCATTCCTTTTGCTCGTCTTCAGAAAAAGCATCAAAAACTAAATAGCCAAGAAACACAATTGCAACGTTTTCCCTCACAAACGCTTAAGGGGGAAAAACACATCACATCATGTGTCAGCGTCTCTTTTCTTTGTGATGTGATCGCTGTTCCAAATGAGGAATCACTTATATACTTGTCCCGTGGTGTGGAATCAGGTCAGAGCTCCTCCTCTCTCCTCCCTTTCTCAATGAAATGATTCATTTTTCCATTACGTCGATGAGTGTGTGAAATGGGCTATATAATCAATAGCATAGGTTTATAAACAGCAGCCACACTCTGGGGAAAATGTGTTTTCTTTTTGAAAACAATGCTCGGCCCGTGTGTGTGTCTGTGTGGAGAGAGGAGCACGTCTGACAACGTTCGACAAAGGCAATTTACGGGGGAATAGAGGCAGTGGCGGCCCAAAGTGAAGGCAGCTCTCATAATACGGCAGGATGAACAGGCAGAGGACAAAATGATTAAACACACTTGGGATGTGGCGACAGTGAGACAGGCCAACTTTTAATGTGTTGTTTAAAAGTGACACCACAAGGTGAGGTGTTTACGATCGTAAATTTATGTTTCTTGGACTGTGAGTCAAAAACCTTTCGATGCTCACATACTTGTCACTCTTGTTGGTCTGTCGATCACAGCAAATAAACTCTGTGTGTGACTGAGGCCAAGCCTTTTGTCCATCTATTGTGTTCATTTAATCTGTAATTTGGTTTGTTTTTGGAAAGTTTTGGATGCATACCCCCGGCATGAAACAGTGCAGTACCATAAGCAACCATCGGGGGATGTTGTGCAGAACAGCTCATGTGTGCCCATGGAAGGAAAGGCAAGAAGAAGACATGACAGTACCATGACAGAAAACTGCTCCATCCACATGCTGTACCAGCGTCTCCTGTACTGTCTCTGTCTGGACGTCTCTCTGAGCAGGAACATTCTGACCTCTTTAACTGCCGCCATGTTTGTTATTGTCTGAGAAACTGAGGTCCGTCCAAAAATTAATTCTGAACTCAACACTGCCCCCTATAGGGTGTATTGCTTAACAACAGTGCAAGTTATGCCCTATCTTGCCCTAAATTGGTGTGTACACCAACAGTGGTAAAATCAACCATCAACACTTGTAAGTTCCAAGTCAACAAAATAAAACCACATAAGACAAAAACAGGACATTTATTAGTGGTCGTAGGTAACCTGTTTGCCACCTGTCTGGTAAAAGACTGGAAAACTAAAAAAAAAAAAAAAGATGATAATAATGATGACAAACTTACAAAAACATGAGCCCGGTGCCTCTCGTCCTCAGCAGCCAGCCTCTCCCTAACAAGAGCCTGCTGGAGACTCCCTTGAGCCAAGGCCCGCTCAGCAGACAGCATCCTGGACACTTCATCCTGGACCTGGGACTGGGCGTCAGCATGGGCCTTGGCTGCTGCCTGGGCCTTCTCTGCCTCCAACCTGCAAATATTTGCATAGTGAATTGACTTTTCAGTTATCAAAATATTAATGTTGTACTGTAGATGGTTAAGCAACTCAAAGTGTTTCCATTGTATGACTAGATTTTTAAAGAATGTTCTTGGTTTTTTCATAACTACTTTGTCACCTAATGGAAGGAAACCACACACAAAAAGCAGTTTAAATATGTCCATGGCGTCCAGCCTGAACATGGTGGCATTGGAGCATTTCCTGTCTTATCTTCATGCAGCTGGACACAAGCACACAAGCACACACACACACACACACACACACCTGTTGTTCTGCTTGCAGCACTGTTGCACAGCAGCTTCTCCCACTAGAATTAAAAGGTCACAAAAGCAATTGTGCTGCTAATGAAGAACAGCCATAGGTCAATATACTTGTATATTGATTTTCAATACTAATGTCAGATTCATCCATTAATGTCATTGCTGTTCCACAGCCTGCAAAGAGTCGACAACAATGGGAACAAGTGCCCAGATGTTATAAACTAAATAAGCATCTGTGTCGGACTAAACTGACACGCGATAGTCGCTTCTGATCAATGTTAATTATTTCTAAATAATAAATAAGTCGCGCAACTGAACTGGACGGAGGACAAGTCTATCAGATGGAGAGTCGTTAATTAAGTGAAGCAAGGAAATACAGATGATCTCTGCACAAGCAAGATCACCATTTGAACCCTGTCAATGCATTCTCATAGTTGCCCGGCAACGTTCTACCAACTCAGTAACAGCATGTTTGATTGGTGAAGAGGAGCAACGCTGAACAGCCTGCTCTAAGGGGACAATCAAAGGAGGTAATCTCAAACATGGAGCAGACAGACGGCCAGATGGGACAGAGAATCACTGACAGATGTAAATAATCGCCAGTGTGACAAAAACCCAGGAAAATACTTAAAAATAATACTGTTGGTTAAAAGGTGTGGGGATTTTCTAAATCAAAATTAAATCCCACTAATCAACTGAAATCATAACTGATCAATATATTTGTATTTGATGGGATTGATGTGATATCTGTTGACCGTGTATAAGACATGGACTCAGCTGTCTGACCAAAGGAGTGACGTAATATATACTTTAATATACTATATATAAGTTTTTGCAACCCCTTGAACATAAAAGTTACATTTTTCTACAATTATAACATAATATATATAAGTTTTTGCAACCCCTTGTACATAAAAGTTACATTTTTCTACAATTAGAATTCTTTTGAAGTGGAAGTGACCTTAGCAACTGTGACTGGACTATTACTCAACAAAAGATTTTCCATTAGTAATCTAGACTTGAACAAAGGACCTGAACCAGTTCAGTGAATAAGTTTTATGACTAATTTAAATACAATTCAAGTAAAAAAAACTATTATTTAATTTCGAAATAATAAAGGCTCCAAATGAGGCTTTGTTTAAATTTGACATGTCCATTTTTTATAAACCATTCATGGCCCCTTTAAATCAAACCTTGGCAGTTACGGGAAAATGCCCTATTGTGTTTTCATAATTCTTAATTGTGAAAACATTTAGCCACAGATTTGAATTCGAATCATTTGCAGCTTCATCAGGTTTCAATGATCATTGTTATGATTTAATATGATAATCGGGGCTGTCGAGCGTGTGGTCAAAGACACAGTTTTTGCCTTTTCAAGTCTTTTCTAATGGTATTCACTGATCCGCCAGGGAGGCTTTCATTTGTTATCCTACTTCAGAAATCTAATTTTCCTCCTCCACTCACCTGTGAACACATGCAGAATTTATACAGTGATGAATCACGATGGGAGGACAAACTAAATCTCCGATTCACTGTCTCAGCTTTGGTGTGAGGACAGGTGGGTGAACTGAAAATATGTCTCCTGTCTCGGAGCTGACATTTGCCCTGCCACAGCACTTAATGTTAGAGTAGAGTGGGGAGAGCGAGATGAGGAGAAAGAGAAAGAGAAAAGAAGAGAGAGTCGGGCGCAAAAAGCGAGCGTGAATAGTGGCGACATGACACATGGGCCCCCAGAGGAAGCGAAGCAGAGAGGCAGCGAGGCAGCCGAGAAGGAGTGGGAGATGGAGGGAGACAGAGGGAGACCGGCCATGGCCAGTCGCACACTCCATTGGGGCTGCCCACGTCAGCAAACTCCATCCATCATCTGGCTCCATCTCACACGGACACACCAGCGCTTACAGGGAGCCTCCTAATGGCCTCTTACATTCACCATTTCCCCGCGACCCACGCCTCCCTGCCTCCGATGCTACGCCACCTTTACTCAGGAAGATTTAGATTGAACGGCCGCTATGACAGAAAGAGCAGGAACAGTAAACAGTGTTATTGAAGGAAGGGAAAGAAGAAAAAAACAAAACGACTTGAGTTATACTCCAGCGGTCCAGCAAACAACAGAAACAAATTACGTCTCTGTGCCAAACGTGAAGATTTGTCGTTTTAAATTATTGAGCTTGGTGCAGGTTCTTTTCCCATTTATGGGGAATTTTGTAATACAGCGGTGAACGCTGTACATGAAAGATATGAAAACATGGACGGCACACGATCACGAAAGGAAAAGTGACGTTGTTTGTGTCAGCAACAGGTATCATACCTTCAACTCCATCACCTTAATACTTTCACCTGTAGAGACGGTGACATTTGTCTGTTGGGGTTTGGGTTGGTTTGTCAATATTTTGCACAAGTGGAAGACACAAATATTTAAACAAAAAAAAACAGAGAGACAGAGGGAAATCAGATAAGGTGATGTGAGAGGTGGAGGGACAGAGAGGATCAGCTTAGGTCGAGACAGAATTAGAATTCACCATAATTTTTTTACCACAATGCAATTTGGAAATTCTGTAGTAAATGTTGTTGTGGATTTTGTTCATTTAAGGCTTTATTTATCAAGACAGTGTTTCATTAAGACTTCACTGTTACCATAGTACTCAGGGAGAGAGGCTTCCCTTCAGTCTGACCAGCTCTAATTAACCACTGATTCTGGAGTGTCTGGCATTCAAACATGATTTTTAGCACCCTCTGTTGGAGAGGGAGCGCTAGCTCCATTGCCCATCTATTTACTGCCATTAATGCAAAATTCTAAAGTCTAGTGTTTTACATTTAGTGTTTGGTGTATTATAAGAAATAAAACAAAATTAACATATTCTAATGCTTTGTTTTTATGACTAAAGATAAAAGTTGTTTTTTTTTCTATTTACAATTAGACAATATGTTTAAATCAGGATTCTAAGCTAACAATTGCTCCCAGTAAAAAGAGCAAATACAATTTAGGGGAAACAATTGGAAAAAAAATCTTTGTAGAAAAATAATTTGTCCAATGAAGAAAACAACAATTATTTTAAAGTTATGGTAAATAATAAATTATTTAAAAATGAACAGATCATTTGTTTTTACATCATACAAAAACTGTAATTGTGTTGAGATACACATACATCAAAACCTCTGGCATTTTGTGCATTTTTTAAAATAGAGAGAATACTCCATGTTTACAAAAAAATTAAAATATGCAAGAGAAGAATATTTTAGCCTCCAAAATTTTGCCCTAACTTCAGGTTGTCATTGGGCAGGCTTTTAACAATGAATGTCCTGCCGTGAACTCGGCTACAGTGCCAACACTGTAAACAAAGTGACAAAAGCAGAACTAAACCAAAAGAGAGGGCGGGAGCGTCCCTGACAATCCTCACCCACGGGGTCTCTCTCAGGGGGCATTTTGCCAAACGCTTGGCCGTGAAGAAAGGGTTACTTAAATCTACAACCTGGTCAAGTCACAGAAATGTCGAGAAGAAAATGGACAGCCCAGCAGAAAAGTGAGTCCCACCGAGTTCACAAGTGCTAACCCAAGCAAAGACTGCTATCACTAGCTGGATGCTATCTTTCTGCTTCACCTCTATTGCTTTCCAGTCATTATTACCCTGTCTCGGGGATATTGAACGCATTTTTCATTCTATTGCAGAAGATTGGCACTGCTGGGAAATGAGGGGGAAGGGGCTGAATGGGAGGAAGGCGGGGTGCGGGTGTGGGGGGTTTCAAGACAGCATGGTTGAGTCAGACAGTGAGGGAAGAAAGACAGCAACATGACTGTGAGAAAGGAAGAAAAATATTCTTCTTCAGAAGATAAGTGGAGGCTGTTTGGCCTGACGCTCCAGCAAGAGGAGAGGATAATCTTTTTCCAGGAACCTGTTGTTTTGTTGGATCAGTGAGTAAAGTCTGGATGGAAAGGTTGAACCTGTGGTGTATCATTAATTCAGAGAGAAGTGTAGTGCTGGTTGAATGGTATGTGTTGGCCTTTACCAGAGAAGTCACTACGGATTCTCAGAAAATAACCTTGAGCAGAAATAGCTGAAGAAAAAGTCACAGCTCCTCTTGGGGCAGTATTTGTGAAAATGACAAATAAAACCAAAAAGACATGGCAGAGATGGTGTGAATTTTTGGTGTGGAAAAACAAACCTGGTTGTTTCAAACCCTAACCCTATGAGAACTATTTTTCCATTAACATAACACAGATTATGGAAGTCACGTCACCAGCGTCTTGCAGTGTGGGTCTACCTGGGACCTCCACATTGTGTCTCCAAACAATCAGTCTGGTGGGACGACGCTGCGACACCTGCGCAGCAGCAGCAGCTCAACCCAAGTGCATTGGAACAAAGGCGTTTAAAGGCCCGATGCAATATTGATGTTAAAAATAATGTGGCTGAATGCTGGTTATGAATATTTTATGGAGCTGTGCACTCTCTCTGACACACACACACACAAACACAACACCTGACTGTTCTGCGGTGTTGGAAGTGCTGGGACAGAGTGAAATTTGAATATATGGCCAAACAAATGACAGCTGAGCAGGATGAGTCATTTCAGGAGGAGCATAAAAATCCATTTTGTACTTTTTGTGTCCTTTGCGTTACCCCACAATTATTATTAAGCGATAGCTGCGCCACCAAACTTCAGCAGCTGGAAACTGTCAGAGTGGATCATTTACTCATCCTCCTCTCTGTTATTGTCTCTTCAAATGTCAGACTAAGCATAAAAAACCAACACTCCCAACATTTTGATGCTGTGGGAGAAACAGTGCATCTGCTTGGTTATGAGGAGTGAGCCGGGATGACAGGTAGCTATCATCCTGTTACTACGACTGTGTCTTAGGGGAGATTAAACCAAGTGAACGTTTTGGGTTTTGTTTTGTTTTGTTTTTGTAATGACCTGAACTAGCGATTGGACTCACTCACCAGCACATTTAGCAGATGAATGAGGAGAAGACTGTAATTTGTCACGTTGGTCAACAGCAGTAAACAAAACCAACAATTTTTCAACACCTGAAGGTGTTTTTGGAGAGTGGATCTATTGATAGTGGGTTGAACAACAACTTTTTCTTTTTTTTTTTTTAAGAGTGAATGTGTGACACCCTACTATGCATATTATATAGAATTGTATTATGAAACATAACAAACATAAATAGTACAAATATGTATACATATACATACACATATACACACACATATTTAGTACTTATATATTGTTAGAATATATGTAAGCATATATTTATATATATATTTACATGTATATATTTATATATATATTTATAAATATGTATATATTTTGTATTATTACTTTTCCCCCAGATTGTGTTTTACAAATTGATTACATTACATCAAAGAGTAGCTGAACTGGACAGAGTGACCTTGTTCTTGACATTACACGTCTCAAAGTTAATAAAACCCAGACATTCAGTCCTTCTCCAGGGCGTCTCACTGAAACTATCGGTTGCAACCAGAAGAAGTCATTTTCCTACGTACAGTCAACTGTGGCGCGCACACACTCATGCCAAGTTTTGTGCAGGACTAACTTATGTGGATAAGTTGGCTCTCAAGTGCGTTATTTACATGTTCTCGCGTGACTTTATGAACTTATACTGGTCCTATTGGTTTAAGTTTGTGTTACAAAAAAATGTCCACATTGGGATTTTGGGCATCTGAGCAGCTGGTTGTGCATTAATCTGTTTTCCTTTAACACATAGTTGTCTACTATGGTCATTACTATTCTTATTACTACTATTCATCATGAGTACTGTGAATACGTTTGTGTTACTCACAGTTAGACTGTCATAAAGGCCAGAAAGCAGAGACAGAACTGTGTGAATCATTGATGTTATTCAAAGATGAGTAATGGGCAGATGCTGGCACATTAATCATCACTACTCCAAAGACAGAATTCTGCCTGAAAAAAGGTTGAACTGAATGACATTTTTACTTTAACTTTACAAGCCTGTGAGAGAGAGCTAAGAGAGATAAAAATTATTAAACAAACAAAATGTAAAAATCTCTATTTTATCTCCTGGCCATAAAATTTAACACTCTGTCTGGTTAGTGTTGGGAGGAAGGCAGAAGCTCTCCCAGGGAAGGTCAGCGTTCTCACTCAAAAAGTCTGATATGCAATTATAATCACACAAGCTGGGTGGATCCATGCTGAAATAATGGGCATAAGTTTTCGCAACAATGACTAATCCTTTCCGTCTCCACTGTGTGGGCACTTTAACACAGAGGGAGGAAAATTAAAATGAGAAACAGAACAAGTGGATGGCAGGAAATAGGAAGAAACAGCGAGAGTGGGGGACGACAGCTGAACACAAGACAACAGCAGGGGAAAAAAAAGGAAAGGTGGAGGAAATTCTAAGAACCGCATCCAATGATGACATGGGATGAGTTTGGTCCGGGGGAAGGGACGCAAAACGCTGTGCAAGTTCTCCGCCCCTCCCTCTTCAGCCCTTCTTCTCCGACGGCCTTTTCTCTGAGACGTTCTGCTCTGATGGCTCACAGAGAAGCAGCGGAGGCAAATCTTCTCCCTGCAGCCGCTCCTTGCTACAAATGAGTTTAAGCTGTACCCCAAATGAACTCTTCACTGAGCCCTCGCTTCACTGCCGGCAGAGCAAAACATGCAAAAGCCAGATCTCTGGAGTTCATTTATGTCCGTAAAGCCAAGGAAAAAAAAAATACACGGACTAATCTAAACGCCCCACTGTTCCTTACAATTCCCCTGAACTGGAAAACCCTACACAGAAATGCAGCAACATATACAGTAAATTTACCAAATGTAATCACCAAGTTCCTTCACTAACAGCTCCGGCTCCTCGTTTCCCATCAGCCCTCTACTGTCTTGTAAAAACAATAAATGCCTTGAAAAGAACATTATAAATTAGTGTCTTCTTCGAGGAGGTCTGAACTAAACTAACTCAAATGTTTCATAGCTTTTATGTTTGGGCATTTTCCCAGCGACCTGGGGGGAGGGTGTCATCTTGCCCCCCTCCCCCGAGTTTAGGATGTGCAACGGTTCACTCCAGGGTTCCAGGATGAAACAAGTCGCTGCAGCATTATTTTCTGAGCTGTGGGAAACAAAAAGCATCTTTCATGTCTTCAGCTCTGCTGCAAATCCATCTGTTGTTTTTTCATCCAAATTTTAATATAAAACTGTGGAAAAGTTACAACAAATTAAGGCTTAAAACTAATTTAAATTCATAATATATAGGACTTTCGTAAAGTCTGGTTCTTATTAGAGACCGGACCCCAAATAACACCTCCATGACTCTGTAGAGGGCACTATAATCACGGTTAGGTCTAATAATTTTATGAATTTTCTTCCTGGTCCATTAGTTAACTTTTAGCAGCACCTTTGCTATTTGTTTCATACAAAGGCCAAAATCCAACTGCCACATTTGTTTTTAACCAAAAACTTTCATTTCAACTGTCTGCCCTTTTTAGAGAGTACAAAAAAAAGCCAAAGTTTAATTATGGCTCAACAACGCAGGAGAGAAAAAAGGTCCTCTAATCTATTTCAATTAAAAGGGAGCAGCAGTGACCCTTATCTCTGAACAACACTAATGAATGAGAAAATGTAACCATGATATAAAAAGGGGAGTGAAAGCCCTTTAATCTCCCAGTATTGTGGTGTTATTGGCAAGACAAGAGCCGGAGGAATTTATCATCATATGACACCATTGTGATGTTATATATCCACATGATAAGCCTATAAGTAGTGGACACAAGAGGAAGCGATACGAGTGGTGTAATAGACCATTTTATCTGTGATTATCTATTGACAAATTTATAAATATACTGTATATTGTAAAGTTTTGGTTTTATTTAAATAAAGGTAAAAAAAATATTAAGTGATGCAAAGAAATATATATATGAGCATTCATTGCCTTTTCAATACTGGTACTTGAATCTGAGTTTATGACCGGTCTCATGTTAAATATGCTCTTTTTGCACAGGTAAAGAGGCATTCATAGCTAACTTGCAAAGGATTTCCAAACTGAGATCATCACTGTCCAAACAAACCATTTTTTTTTTTAAGTACTGTGCAAAAGGTTCATGTTTAGAGAACTTAGAAGCGTAATGTCAACATTCCCGTTCCGTGACCAGGATGTTACTTTAGAAAAAAAAAAACCCCAACAACTGTTCAAAACACTTTAATGTTGTGTAAAACAAACTTCTGGCTCTCTACACTTACTTTAAAAAGACTTTAAATTTAATTTATCTTAAGAAGAGCACATCTTAGTGATACTATTTTCGTTCTGTTAGGAGCAACTACTTCTACATCTAAGGAGAGGATTAGGTTTGTATCCCTTCAATTTATACTCCTTAAGTTAAACTATTTTTTAAAGTAATAAATATGGAGAAAAATTCTATTTTCAATCAAAATATATTTTTTATTAACGCAACCTTAACGGCTAGGCTAGGTAATTACTGCCAAGAAAAAAAAACACATACTGTATGTAAACATTGGCAGTGGTAAATATTCATATACTATCTTGGTTAGAGAATACTAGTATAGTATTGCTCATCCTTCCAGCCACCATGGTTTCAATTATTGGCAAAAGAAAAAAAAAAAAACGGTGCCAATTTGGGAGCACTTAAATTCTTGTAAAGAAACATCAATAAGTTAACACAAGGAAAATAAAATATTCAGAGAGGGAAAAAAAAATCAATAGGTAAACAATTTCTTAACACCAGTAGTCATTTTTCTCTTTCAGAAAGGGCCTCGATTTTAGGCTAATCACCAGGCTAACGCTACCTCCTCCTGGACAGATTAAGGCTGTGCTTCAGAGATCGGCTGCATTTAGTGGCTAATCACAGCTGCTGATTGACCCTGGTCTGCTGGAGACGGTCCCAGTCTTTGAGGGGGGACGATTATTGGACATTGTAGTCCATGCACCTGCCCCTTTGGGTCAAAAAAAAAAAAAAAAAAAATAAGAGAAAGAGGGTCGAGCACAGGAAATGACAGGAAAATAATCCAGGGCAGAGAATGGGAATACGCTGCTCACATAAAGAGAGCTTCTTCATCACGTTGGTCTAATAGATCACCCCACTCAACCACCAGGAAATTACCTGAAGAACGCTACCTCCTTTTCAGACATGATTAATTGATCCAGAATGAACAGGAGAAAAAGAACAAAAGCAGAACGGGTTGGAAAAAGAGGGATACGGAAAACAGTGGGAATCTGAAAAAACCTGTTCTGACCTTTTGACTATTAATAAGAGTCGGGGGAAAAAGTCACACATCAGTTTATGATGAAGTGTAGAGAGAAGCTGACGCCCTGGTGGTAGGAGGTGGTAGTTCATTTATCATGATCCAAACCAGGAAGGAATGAAATAAGGACCAAACAACAGTAAAAATAACAGTAAAATGTCCTCTTGACTATAACCTTGACTGACCTGTGTGTGTTTTAGTACATCTTACCAGGCCTGTAGCTCTTGTTCTGCCTTGGCCCTTTCCTGCTCAAAGCCTTTATGGAGCTCATCGGAGATCTTCCTCCTCAGGGCTTCTTCATCAACTGGGGACAAAGAGAAAGAGAAAAAGCCCAAAATGTAAAAAAGGAGAAACACATTTTTTAGTAAAAAGCTTTGTTTGCAGACAGTTCTGTTGTAAATGGTTAGGGCTCCATCTAAATAACAGCAAAAGAAAAAAAGTAGGTATTGATCCAGTGAGCAATGAAAAAAAATATATTTTTACTGTGTCAGGAGGAGACACCCAAACAAATAAGGGTTTGAACAATTAGCTGATCAATATGATTTCAAAAAAAAGAAAGTCTGCAACTATTTATTTATAAGCAAAATATTTTTGTATAAAATAATTATATAAAATAAATAATAAAGTACAGTCATTGTTAAAAGTCAATATATAGAGCAAAAAAAAGTTTCAAGTCAAAATATATTTAAGGAAACTAAGACTGCAGTTAATTAATGTCACCATTAAATGGTATCAGTGTACATTGAAAAAAAAAACATCTGAGGAATGCATTTGACCTTGACCTTTCACATTGTTCTAAAGTGTACAAACCTTAAGACTAGCAAACATCTAAGTAATGATTACATTTGTGTCCATTTCAAGAACTGCTGAGAACATTTGGGGGGGGGGTGCATGGAGGAGGTTCTGTACCAGTTTGGAGCTGCATTTTAAGCAGATACTGTATGTTGACTCTCAAATAAATGGAATTAATTAAAGTACCATCAATTTCTGGGTAAAACCATTTGAACTGAGGTGCACAACACCACAAGTCATATAAACAAAACTAAAAAATGTAATATTGTATGTAATATTGAACCAAAAGGACATTTGAAAGCACATATCCCAATCCTATAATATAATATTGACATTTGAAAGCACATATCCCAATCCTCCAACCACACACCAGCCTGTCTTCATGTATTCATATCAGGGACATCACACATGTAACTGCATGTCTCCACCGGTCCATCTTGGCAGGTAATTAAGCAGGAAGGTAAAGACGACAGACAGCAAACAGGCCAAAACGTGCTCTGAAGGCAGAAGTGCCATGCAGCGTACTGCGACACTGCAGTGATTGGAGGAGAGTCTGAGTGTGTCAAGATTACTCCCCAACTGCATTAGTAAGATGGGATAATCCCTATTGTCAGGCTCTATTATTACCAGGTAATATGTGCTAACAGGAGACCGGTTGAAAGGCAAACACGCACACACAAAAACCTATTTCTGGCCTAAATCAGATCAACAATGAGAGCGGCGAGTGCAGAGCCAGTCTTTTCTTGAAGGCTGTTCAACAAACACAGAAGAAGGAGAGTGAATTTTTGACGCAAAACAGCTTCATGATTCAGACTGATGCTGTGGTTTAGTGGATATGAGAGACAATGGGAATCATTATTGACATTTGGAATGTGGTATCGGTGGTGGTCAAGGGCTTCATGATGACTTTAAAGTCTGTACACAACAAACAGAAACAATAAGACCGCTTGTTTCAAACTAAATTCAAACGCAAATTGTAATATTTTATTGTCTGGTGAGAAAGACAAACTAAATTCAAACTCAAATTGTAATATTTTATTGTCTGGTGATTGGTTTGATCTACTCCTATGTGATAAACATCAACTCATGTTGTTGTTGAAGAGCATCAATTTGTTAATACTGTACCTTTTATGATTTGAATCCACTATATAGCTGCTCATCTGAAACCATAGGTCATTCATAAATCACATATAGCTTAGATTATTGGTGCAAAACCAGTGGTTCCAAGCCCACATGTGACACACAAACTGATTTAATGAGACAGCAAATCCAGTGATGCCTTACTCTAGGCTACTGATTCCAGCACCATGGACAGAGCTCACCAAAGCTAAACCAAAAGCTAATTTCTTTCTTGAATTACACTTGGAAAAAAATTAACATTCAAAACTCTTGTTGCGTTACTTAAAGAACTGGTGTCTAAAGTGGAGGTTTGGCCCCTCTGATGGGACACAGAGGTATTGCAGGTAGCACGCACCAAGGGAGGTTTATTTCCACAGTATCGACAAAGCTGTATCGTTACAAATTAGTCATCATGTACTTTGTTTTAACATTTTCTCAAACAAAACATTAGGGATTAATGTTTTGTTCTATAACTTTTTGAAAGAGTTTTTTTTTCTTTGCCAACTTCTTTTCTTATAAAGAAAACAAATTTTGACTTTCAAAGATTTCCTCGGTTCAATAAAAGTTATAGATTCCTAAAAATCCTCTTCTTTCTTTTAGTCTTCTCCACCTTGTTCAGTGACTGATGCGAGTTCTGCCTTAATAAATTGGTCTCAAGAGACATCAATGCACAACACAAAACAAAAATACATTTATAATCCTGTCTGTTTCTCTGGGATATTTGCTTTGTGTACATTTCTTTTCTGTTGCTGACAACATGGAACACACACACACTCACAGCGTGACATTTTGGGAAAGAAAATGAATAGGCATCAGGCAGAGGGGTTTGTGCGTGACAGAAACACTGGTGAAGACGAAGTGTTGATTGACGGTTGACAACTCTTTGCTGCACAGTGTCTCCTTAAAGACGGAGCGCGCCGTCACCTACTGGCCACACCGTGGGAAGATAATATCAATCAAGTTTGACAGGCGCTCAGCTGTACTATTGATCTCACTTCAGAGGAAAGTCTAATGACGACTGTTCAAAAAAGTGTAGCTCAATCTGCTAAGTTGCGTAGTCAAAGGTACGACGAATTCACCGTCAGAATAACATCAGAGTTTACAACGGGAAAACCTGAAAACAATGAAAGCTAGAGCTAAACTTTCTAGCTTAAACTTTTCACTTCATTTCTACTGATAATGATAGTGTGTAGCCATTGGATAGAGGTAGGTATTTTGATATACTTCTGACAAAAATGAGCAAAGTTAGGAGCCCTGTAGCTAGCACCGTTTTAAGCTAACTTAAATAGAACAAGTCACCATTTTCAGAGAACCAAGAAATGTGAAAAAATCTTAAGCGTTTGTTTAAGACTTACAAAAATACTTTCAAAAACCTTTGGAAAAAAACGTCCAGTTACGGACTTACAATTACCATCGTAGATCTCTGTACTTTGTGTACAGAAGAGGGCACTAAACTCAACAGGTGAGAGTCCCATCATTATGAACATTTACCATTTGACATTTCAGCTTCACCTTACGTTCAAAATCTTTTTGTATTAAACACAGATACCCATTAACTGTCAAACTCAAAACACAAAAGTCTCCGCTTCAGCAAGACTAAGCAACTCTGTACTTATCACCACATTCTCTGCAGCCTCTCAGAGAGGGAGTACAGATAGCTAGCAGGCCTCCAGGGTCAGTCAGAGAACAGGGTCTGATACGATAAACACCGTCTCTGGTCCTTGAGAGACGCTGGTTGGGGGTCAGAGACAATTCCAGATTAATAGAGCCCATGTCAATCCAGAGTAGGGCATGTAAATGTTAAAAAGATTAAAAACTCATCATCTTTTTAGACTTGGCCACCCGCTCCCGCTAACACCCCCCCTCCCTTTACACCAATCACTATACCCTGCGGAAAAAGCCATAGAAAAAGAGAGGCGCTGGAGCAGAGACTATTGGTGGTGGAGATAATAGACAGTGGCAAATTGCGTTTCTCATCAGAAGTTTCATTAACCCCGGGACCTGAGTGGAGGGCATAATCTGTAACATTAGCACTTCCTCACGTTTCCTGCTTAGTCAAGTCACCGCACACCTTATACTTCGCTCAAATAAGAAGTTAAAAAAAGCCAGGAAGGAGCAGTTAACCCCAGCAGCCAGGTGTCAATTATGACTTTGTCTTTATTCACTTCTTTTGCTGTTAATTTAATCCATGCTGTGAAAAGAAATAGATAAAAAATACGTTTTTAGAACAGGAAATAAGTCTTATAAGTCTTGATGCGATTTTTACAAACAGGTACAGTTAAGTGAAATCAGCGATGCATGGTACCATAACAATTCTTCTTTAGGTTGTTATAAACTAAAGTAAGTTGTATTCAGATGGCATAGCTTTGTGGGAAATTAACTGGACCAGCAGTGTGTGGGTAAAACCAAGTGTGGACACCAACAGACGGCTTAATTGTCTTCCAATAAAAACAAGTCTAACCCAATCCAACAGGAAAGAAATACTTCTAAATTAAACACATTAGATAATTCAATAAAACTAAGGATATATTGATAATTGATATTAAAAATCCAGCTGAACAGAAGGTGAGCTGAGCATTTTTTATTGTCTAATTTTTCCAGTGCCGTTTTGATGTAAAACATTAGCTAAATTAGTGCTTAGGTCGTTCTTCAGGTGTTTAGTTACTGTATCGTGACTGAAAACAAATCTTGCTCCCATGTTCGTCCCAGTTGTTAGGATGCCTCCAGAATTGCTGGAATCTAGTGTTGGTATTTGAATGAAGTATCAGGCCTATAACATCGATACTGTTATTGGGGCATCCTTACATATTATTTAAGATTTTGGAATTTGGCAGCCAACGCCAGTCCATTAAAATCCACTGTTTGTGTAAATTATCAATGTGAAGTGCACTCATAATTTGAAGACAAAAAAAACAAAACACTGTTTTCGAAGACAAAATATTTACACTCATGTATGTACACAAGTAAAACTATAATGTCCCCTCACTGTGTTTCCCACACTGCCATCCTTTATGCTGCATCTGGGAGACATCTTTAATCAGACTATTAGTCCGGCCCAGTGTGTGGGAACGGCCGTATGAATATTTATAGCACATTGGAGAAAGTGTAGGAGGTTCAACCTTGGCGACGGTGTAATCAGCACACATTCTGACTCAGGCCATGATTTAGAGACAGCCGACCTGCTGTGAGCTTCACTCGATAGCCAACCTTTGTGGACACACATAATCAATGTCCGCCTCATTAAGGTCATACCCTTTTAGGACCGGGCCGAACATTGCAACTTTTTAACTGGATTCTCATTAGTTGTGCTCTTTTTTTTTTCTTCTTCTATAGTTTAGCCCTTTTGCTCAATCATCTAAATCCTTTTTTAATATAAGCTTGGTATACATTAGGCAGGAAGGTGACTTTGCTTGCAGGGTAGTTTGAAATACCTCTGTAAATGTCAGCGTGCATTACTGCTGCAAGACAAATATAAGCCACTGCCTGGCAAAGGGCAGCCACCGACTCATAGTTGGAAGGAGAATAAAGTGATACACCAAACCGGAGACTGTGGTTATGAGTGTGGAGCGAAGGTAGCAAAAGACAATTAAAATATACGCCTGTGTCTGCCTCCCAAACACACTCTCTGTGTTGTGAGACTGAGAAAAGAAAAAAAGCAATTTAGGCCTTGTCGCTATAACAAACCTCTTAAAGAGGAAATGGATTAATAGATTTGTTGTGTTGTGACAGCAGTAAGACAGTTAATCATAATAGCTGCACTCAACAGACTCCTCACCTTTAACAAAGTTAGGTGAGATGGTTACGGCCACAATATTCTTTAAAAATGAAAACCAATTAGCTCCACAGAATGGAGAAACAACTTAATTTAAAAGGGAGGGAGCGAAGCAGGGACCTGACAGCAGGAGCAGAGTTAGCTGCAAACAAAGGCCGTCTCCAGAGAAACCTGTTGGGTTTTTTTTTGTCTGTGTTTTCTTTTTAATATTTCTATTTGACAGCGGTGTAATCAAACTCAATAGATTAAACATAAGGAAGAAACAGAAAGAAGTCAAGACAAACAATTATAAATGGATTTAGCTGTTGAACTGGTGTGGCAACTATACATCTTCCTAGGACAGTGAAGGCATCGCTGGTTTCATTCCGCCACTCACTATTCAGTTACTCCACTATCAGGGTTGTCGTGGTTATATGCCAGTTAGCTACTAAGGTGAGTCGTAGGCGAAGAGTAACGAAAACAGTTTGTGTAGCTGGCTGTAAAACCTAGTTCTAAATTCCTGGCCCGGGGGCCAATTCTGCTTAAAAAAAAAAAAAAATAATATATATATATTGTGATTAATTAGAATTGGGTAAAATACTGGTTTCGAACCTGTACGTGAGCTAATTAGCTAAAAACGCAGCGGTGCTGGGTGGAAAAGGTTCATGATCAGGCAAACAAAAGTTCCCCAGATAGCAGTAATTGTTTCCTCCTAAAACTAAATATCAATGATAAAATTATTATTTTTAGTAACCAAAGTAAAGTTAAGACAAGGGTAGACAGATCCAGGGAAAATGGACACGGTATAAGTTCAAGGTGACCGAACCACCAGCGGAGGTTACCATCAATATATGGTTAAGTACTTCAGGTACTTATACAGGCACTGTTGTACTACACAGTATTTACACTAAACAAAAAACAAATTTGAGTTAAATACCCTTGGCCTAAAGTGAGGTCAGTGAAAGAAACAAATCAACTGGAGCACTAGCTCAACAGTTGCATCACCACTTCATCATAAAGGGTAGATTCCAGAGTCAGATCACTGGAGGCCCTACAGTAAGTCCAAGTTTAATAGAAAGTATAACCGCCCAACAACCAACCGCCCACCACCTCCTCTCCTTAATGAGTCTGCTGTTTTGTTGTGTGAAAGTGTGGAGGTGTCGTTTAATCACTGGAGTCACTGTGGCGTGGCAGGAGTCGGCCTTTATTTAATTACCTCACTGACTGTTGCTGAAAGTTAGGGATGGGGAAGCCTGCCCGCCCGCTGCCCTGAGTGCCGTCCTCTGAAGAACTCACACCCACACCAGAAATTTAATGCATACTGAGAAGGCAACTTTCAACTGTCCTCTGCTTCTTTCTTTCTTTTTTTTTTTTTTTTTAACTGTAGTGGTTCCCAAAGTGGGGGGGTGGGTTCCCCCAGGGCGGTGTGGAGCTGCTGCAGGTGAAGAACACTGAAGCAGATGAATTTTTAATATTTTTAACATTTTAATTAATTCGTGCCGCAGCTGGGAAAATGCAGTGACTTTTAATTTAATTTTCTCCTCACAGGTGAAAAGCACTTTTGTAGGAGTTTCATTTGTGCAGTTTTTTTTTTTTTTTAAAAGTTCAGTTAAGATTTGAAGCAATGAATGTGTTTGTGCTGATATGAGTGGCGAAACAATAGTCTTTTTGTTAATGTGGGTGTGAACGTTTTAGAAGCAACACACAGTTACCTAAAATTCTGAAGGAAACACATTGTTGTGACTGCTGGTGGTTCAAAGCTTCAAAGTAAGTTGACAATATTTCCTAAAAACAAGCTGAAAATAACTATTATAAGTTCCTTTGTCTGTAAAATGCTTTTTAGATTTTTAAACTTCATAACGTAATATGCACTGAACAAAAATTGTCAGCTGAACTACCTGCAAAGTAAATGGCTCTAATTCAATAAAATGAAATAAAAATCATTCAGACTTATCACTGGAACAAAAAGGAAATTACAAGGACTTTAATCCTTTGTGTGTAAAAAAAAAAAAAAACCCCAACGGAGGGAAACTTTTTATATTCCTTAACAACACTTTTTATTTAAACTTGTAATAACAGCTCTGTGGGAGCTCGGAGACAGAACACAGCACAGGAAAATAATCCTGCTGTAAAACTGGAACAGTGTTAAAAAATACAGCCTCTGAGATGAATTAAACATTAGTGTTTAATTGGAAAAGCAGATTTGGTCATGCTGGTTTTTTGACCTGTAACTCCTGTGTGACTTTAACCGTCAGCAGCTGAATTTTCACACTGTTTTCTCCCCGTTGGTAAGATCATGGAGTTATTCTGAAGTCACAATACTGGCGAATAAAACTGAGAATTATTCACTGTATAGAACAAAACATAATTTCAGAAATGACCAAGAGGAAGTCAAGGGGTTACCATGACAGCTGGAGCTCCATAGTGATGAGGCAGAGTGGAGGGGGCCGCTAATTACAGCATCAGTCTTTTAACATTATTACATGAAAGAATGTTGTTAATAGTTTGGGGCAAAGCTATGAATCATAATATATATAATCAGGACCAAAGCTACAGTGAGGCTCGACTTTAAAATTAAGACTAATTACAATCTGACTGAAAAGTTGCAGGCAAAAAGGCTTAAGGTGGTTTAAACCCCACAGTTATGTAAAATACTCAGCGGCAGCCGGCATCCACTAAGTACTTTGTAGTTTTACACAACATTATTCTACCTGATATGTTACTAAATCAAAAAGTTTCCTATTTTCTGAAAAAAAAATACATCTGGTGCCAATACGTTTAACGCCTCATAAAGTCAAAGTAAAGAACTCATCGACTATCTCTGCTGAAGCCAAATTTTGGCACATATCACTGTCTGCGTTGCAGAGCATTTTCCTCATCAAAATAAAGTCTGTGCCATCCTCATAAAAACAGAGGAATTACCCTCATAACACACATTTGGGGAGAACACTAGTTAGATGTGGCCTGTGTGTGAACTAAGGTTAATTTAAATACCTCTTATTAACTCATGAGACAGGTAACAGAGATAGACAGGCAGAAACACACGGCATGTATTCTTTTTTTATTATTATTAACAATTACCATGCCAATATTCATGGCATGGTTTATGGTTAATTTGATTTTGCTTTTATTCCATTTTTTTTGTTAAGCATGTAACAGAATTGTGTGTTTACAATGCTGACAGCCAATGCTCAGCCTTTATTAGTATTACTAATTGTCTAATTTGTGGTACAAAAATACAATATAATAATAATAAAAACATCCTTGCATCTAATCTATAGAACCTGGCTGCTTTTTATGGAACACCGGTTGGTTTTGTCGTTGAAGATAAGGAATGCAGTTATTTTAAATAATAGGTCCAAAAAAAAACAACCTCAGTAATTTTATTATTGGTGTTGTTTTTGTGAAGACAACACTATTGTTGTGTTTAGATAAATGAACCTCCGTCTTGAATAATCATTCTGGTAAACCATGAGTTAATGGACCGGTGCTTGTGAATGACAGATTTATTTAACTTTAATCAAATATTTTATTACACTGTTAATTAGTTTTATGTGTTAGTGTGTAGGTGCTGGTGTATATTACCTCTCAGTTATTAAGCATCTTTAAACCTTTTATGGCATCATTTATTAAATATATATTCAGTCAGTTTGTTATTAAAACTCACCCACTGGTGGAGGAGGCGGTGGAGGAGGGGCTGGTATAGACTCAGGCACCACCACTGGTTCAGGAGCAGGAGCTGGAGGTGGAGGTGGAGACACCGGCTTGACAGAAGGCTGAGGAGGAGTTGCAACTGGTTCACAGGGAGCAGTAAAATCGAGCAGCGGAGGTGAAGCGAATTGTGAAGTGGGCTGCAAGGGCAAAGCATTCCCTGAGGATGGAGGAGGAGGAGGGATGGTGGGCTCCGAAATTGAAGCGGATGAGAGGGGTTCTGAGATGGCAGGAGCAGGAGGCGGAGGAGGAGGGGGAGTTGGAATGACCTCAGTCTTGATAGGGAAAGGGGGTGGTGTGGGTTCAGGTACAGGTAAAGGAGCAATGGGTTCAATCGCAGGGGGAGAAGTGATTGGCTCAACTACAGGTATAAGGGAAGGAAGAGGAGAGGAAGAAGGAGGAGGAGGAGTAAGAGCAAGAGGAGGAGGTGAAGTAGGGGGAGAAAGAGGCAAAGGTGAGGCAATGGGCTGACTTATAGGAGCAGCAGTAACCAGGGTGACATCTTCCACCACAGCTGAAGCAGGAGAGCCGGCAGGAGCAGGGAAGGATGGAGGCGATGGAGGGGTTGATAAAAATGGCAACACTTTGGGTTCTACCTTCTCTGTTTGAGGTTTAGGAGGAGGTGTTGGCGGAGACACGGTCTTTGAGGTTGGCGGAGCAGGTTGAGATGAAGGAGGTGGAGCTGGAGGTGCAACAGGTTCTTTTAGCTGGGACAGAGGAGGCAAGGAGGTAATTGGATCAAATAGTGGAGGCACTGGCCTTGAGACAGGTGGAGGAGGAGGTGGAGTAGGGACCGTGGGAGGTGGAGACGGGGAATCAGGGTTGGGTTTAGAAGGAGCTGTTGGCTCCTTCATGCGGTTGATGACATTGTTGGAGAGCTGCAGGAAAAAAAGGAAAAAGAAAAGTTTTAAAAGAAACAAAGGAGTTTTATTTGTGGACCTTTAAACGAACTTGGTCAATAGCATCACTGTTTATAATAATGATAATTTATAATTAAGCCAACAATTAGGAAACAGTTGAGCAGCAACTTATCAATTACTATTATATTAATTCCTTATTTGAGATTTGTTATTTAAGACAAAATACAAAAGAAAATAGGGAAAAATGTTGAATATTTATACATGAAAACATCAAAAAAATTGCAAAGCCTACTTGTTTCACCTTTTCTCTCTAAATTATTTGTAACCTATTAAAAAAAATGTTCAAAGTCTTTATAGCCTTTTTAATCTAGTTGCCTTAAGCAATAATAGATTTCTGTGGACTGAAGCTGTCCCAGATCAGGCCTCTCAGTCTATTTTTACCATTAGTGATAATGACAAACAATGCATGCAACAGGTCACGCATACAAACACAAGGGGACACTTTCTAACTCTAACATAAACTGTCAAACAACACAAATAAATATTTGAAATATGTACATTTAAATCAGTAAAAATAAAAACAAAACTCAGGATATAGTCTGGAGATCATGACCTGGGATGTGAGACTTTGAATGATTGTTATTCTGCACTTTAATGTTTACTGATTAATTTTTCAGGATAAAACTAGAATGACCTCAGGTTCATTTTCAACGTTTGTGATGGTCACATGTGACATGTCACTGTTTTGGTGGAACTTTTCCATTCACAGAGAGCTACAAACTCGTCCTTGTCCCAGAAGATTGAGGTAAAGTAATTTTAACTTTTAACATTTTCTCTAATTACTGACAACACTAATCAACAAGTGGGTTTTAATTTATACAACAGAACATGTGGTGTGACATTGACGTCACTAATTCTGACATAAGGTATGAGTCTAACTTAACTTCTTAAACTTTTTTGTGAGTGAATAAATAAATGAATGTTGACATTCTAGTTTGCTCGGCTTTTAACAGTTTTTTCGACTTTAAGTTTAACTGTGACATTAGTCGTCCTATGACGTATGTGCATCAGCGGTCTACACGCGTTCCAATGTGGATGTCACTCACCCATACGCCCTTCACCACCATTATATTCTCATGCTCGTCTGATTCAAATGACACTCGGTGGGTGCTGTTGTTCACTCCCATTGTCAGACCGCAGCTCGATAAAATGCCCCGTTTCTACATGAAATTCTAAGAACCCTCTGTTGTCCCACTGCCGTTTACTGGCGATGAACTCGGGTTAATAAGTGGGTCTAGGCGCCGTAGCAAGACCCTATTTCCGTAGCCTGACGCGGTGCAAAAAGACACTACCGGATTGGGCGGCGGAGTTTCATATCCTAGCAATAGCTGTTTTTATTGGACAGTTAGAGTATTAGTCACTGGGGTTTCTCAAAAGTATTTCAAATGTTTGTCTAAATTAACTAAAGATAAATACATTTTACAATTTATGTTGATAATTAACTATCCAAAAATCATTCTGTTCTAATAAACAAACAAAAAACCCGAAACGAGACACATAAGAAAAATTAGGTTTAATCATTTACATACTTGAATTATACATACTGACAGTTGTACAATATTTGTTTCATATTAAAGTTTTACTGCTAAAAACTAACAATTAAGTTTAATTTTAACTAAATTATTTTAGTGCTACAGTGACAATGGTTTAATAAAATAATTATAATTATTGTACTTTGTATATGTATACACAAATAAACAATATGTTTTTAGTTTTTAGTTTTTTTGAAGAGTCCCTCGATAAAGGATGACCATCAACATCCAGATGGAAAAGGTTTCATAGTAAAATCACTAAGGAAATGTAATAGTAATGTTTGCCTTACTTAAATAAAATTTTAAAATAGCCCAAATACATATTATTTTATTTTTCTCAATGGTCAGGAAAGTTTGTGAAAAAGACAGCTAAGAAAACTAAAGAAAATGTGCGTTACAAAAAAAAAAAAAAAAAACGAGAAGGAGAGAAGGTACAGACAGTACAACCTGTCAGCTCCAAAAAGTGCACATAGTATATTTGTACTGATTAAACAGCCATGCTTCTAGAAGAAAAGGTCAAGTGTCAACTGTTCGATAAAATATATATCACAGAAATCCCAGGTGGTTATAAATCAAAACAAAATAAATCAGTTTTATTTGTTCTGCAACCACAGGACTGCAACAATGAGCAGAATTCTTTGCTCTCAGATCTTTTATCCTAAAGAACACTTCCCGAAAGCCCTGCTGTCAGGAATTGGTTGGGGAAACTACCGGGGGAGTCATGAGGGAGGCTTCTTCTTTCTGGATGCACAGAGAAGTTTTATAAATCAACACTGAGCTGGGATATTTTACATGCCATGTTTGCTCCTTTAAAACCATATGACTGGACTGTTTCTGAGGGAAAAGTTCAAATTTTAAAGAGTGAACTTTCTCTTCCAACCCCATGATTATGGTTATTGGTAGAAAGATATATATATTTTACATGTGCATATCTAAGAAAGAATAAAAAACAAAAAGAGAAGAGAATTATGAACCAGTTGAGTGTGGGTGTTATTAGATTTTCCTCTAACTTTCCTTTTTGAATAGCCTTCTGCACAATATCACTCTCAGAAACTCATTCAGCCTCCGACAGCTGCTGCAGATCTCATATGCTTCAAGTAGAATGGACAATATGAGGAATGACAGTTCATAAAAGTCAGTCTTTAAACCTGATGTATTATACGCAAGGAATAATGCAATTCTGTTTTTTTATAATGCACTTTTCTTCTGATTCCTCTGCCTTTGTGTTTGCGCCACTGTATATGTTTGGGATTCTGTGCAAACATAATCCAATAAAAGCCTTTAAGAATTCATTGCACTGGTTGCACATATATATATATTGGAATATTATTGGAAAATGTTTATAGGTATGCAGCTGAGGCACCTTTAAATATTTGAAACAATATATACCTTGAACAAATACATTTTTCATAATAGAAAAGCAAAACACAAGCATGGCTGAAACGCGCCAAATTTGATAAATATACAGGTGATGTCAAATATGAGAAGAGTAGAGAAAACAGTGGTTGTGACATGAGAATTAAGTGGATTACAAGATGTGATTTAAAAAGAAAAAATATTTTCAGAATACTGCATATCCTTTTTATAGAATATTTATTTGAAGATAATTGATCATCCAAGAGTCAAGTTTAAATGACAACTTCTTGGCTATAAAAAAGTTCTCCAAAAGACTTCTGGGCTCGACTATGTTTCATACACTGACTAACTGCTTTTCAGAGGCTGCTGCAAACCATTATCTCTGAATATAAAAAAATGTGAAAAACTGATGCACAGTTATTTACTCGCAGGCGTTCTAATAAAGCTCAAAAAAATCTGCACCAATCCTTCAGAGGGAATGATGAAAATCTACTGGCCCTCCACCGTAAACAGAGACATTAACTTGTTTTATTATTGCATTTTTTATTGCACTCACAAAAAGTGATCAAAACTGGCATTTATAATTAGCAATTATTCAACTTAATGGCCTGATGATTCATGCAGGGTACTAAAACTTTGCATGACTAGTGTCCTTTTGTATTTGTAGACTGTTTACTACTGCTCATTGATGTGTCTGTTATGCAATACTAATTCGCATCATGGCACGTTGTGTCTGGATTATTATTAATTCAAATGACTATGACTGTTTATATCACTGTGGCACAAAAGACATTGAATTTGTTGGCTACTGATGGATGATGGATAGATGGATGTATAGATGGATGGATGGGTGGATGGATGGGTGGTTGGATGATGGATGATGGATGATGGATGATGGATGATGGATGATGGATGATGGATGATGGATGATGGATGATGGATGATGGATGATGGATGATGGATGATGGATGATGGATGATGGATGATGGATGATGGATGATGGATGATGGATGATGGATGATGGATGATGGATGATGGATGATGGATGATGGATGATGGATGATGGATGATGGATGATGGATGATGGATGATGGATGATGGATGATGGATGATGGATGATGGATGATGGATGATGGATGATGGATGATGGATGATGGATGATGGATGATGGATGATGGATGATGGATGATGGATGATGGATGATGGGACAAAGAGATGAATGGATGTAACTGTTACTGTAACTGAGACTAATTTATTAGTTCTGGGAGATGAGAAATCACATTATGTGTAAAATGAACTAATGTAATTCAATAGTGCATTGTGCAGATTATTTCGGTATACTATAGGAACATACAAGCAATACCATTTGGTTTGTAAACTTTTTCTTTAAAAAAAAGAACTAAACAAAAACTAAACATGGGATTAAAATTTGTAAAGGAATTTATGTGTTTACGCAATACTGTAATTGCATGTAAACATAACCGGGCATGTTGTTTATACAACTCTGTTTTCCCTTCTCTGGTTCTTTGACGGCCTTAATAAAGTCCTTTCATATTCATTAATAGTGACCCACTCAATTAATTATTGTGTCACATTATGTTCTTAACAAGAATATTAATTAATTAATGATCAAACTGAAAAGCATTTCTGAAAAGAACACCTGTTGAACTTAACATAGTTCTTATCTAACAGCCACATGCAGTGAAGCACATAAATAAATAATGTAAAAAAAATTGTCTGCACCGTTAGTCACAGAGCTGCAATAGTCCTTTTTTAAAAATATTTAATTCTCTTTGATCATTAGAAGAAATACAGCATATGCATTTAGATCTATTAGGGGGATTTCTAACGTAGGCCTTTTAGTTCACACAGGTCAGACAGTCATATGTCACACTGAAGGAAATAACCTTGGTGCAGCTCTGTACCAGAAGTCCAGTAGATTACTCAGACTGATGGGATCTGCAGCAGGAAGAAAGGCTGATAAGAACTTCAAAATTAAACTTCTGAAGCAAGGAGCCTTCAAAAGAAAAACTGCAGCTCCTGCATGACCAAGCGATTGTTTCCTCTTTGTGTGGAAGAGGCACAAAGATCACCCACAATGTTATCTCGTCAGTCCACCAGTGCATCAATCAGGACTCGGGCTGCTGGGAATCGACCTCTTCTGCTCCAGAATCAATGCCCCCTCTCTCATTCCCATTGCTACAGCAGAGATTGTCAGAGATACAGTGCAGGCGGAGACCGGCCAAATCCAACACTATATGTTCTAAATGGCGGAAGCTATTAACTCAGTGACACCCTGTCGCTCTCCTCTGTTCAACCTTTACTTTCAGCAGTCCCATGAGGACTGGACTTTAAGTGGTACAACAGAACCCTTTTACCATTATGATTCTTGTTCAATACAGAAACTTCGAAGCAAAATACATTTAAAAAACAGGGAGAGGGGAGGGGAGAACTGTTGGATTTTTTTTTTTTAAAAAACAACCTATAAATTACATCAGGGATCTCCAAAAAGTTGCTTGGGAGAGGGACAACCCTTTGACAATGCAAGCTGTATTAAGCTGTTTTTTATTAAGCAGGCCACATGAAACAGTTACAAGTACCACATCTGTCCACTGGACTGCATTCTTTTTTTAAACATACTTGGAATAATTTATCATGCATAAAAATGGTAGATAATTACTGACCACTGACAAAATCAGATAATACTGCTGCTTTTTAGTGTGAAGAGAGAAAGTAAAGAAAGGATATATGGCACTTGAATGCAAACCAATTCAAATTTTTTGGTGTGTTTTAAGCCAATATAATATTAAACACTTAATAACTCTAGATCAGTTATAGTGTTTTCTAATTACGGCAAAATAAATGATGAAGTAATACGTTGATTTGTCTCTTTGTTTACATTTGTGTCTCAAAGGGAAAGTCCTGTGTCACCACTGAGTGGCATTCCGCTGAACTACATCTCCCAGAATTCAATACAGCGACCTCGCGCCTCTGTCTTCCTGTTTGGGTGCTGCAGCTGTAAAAAATGGCAGCTGATTCAGGGAGATACAGGAGCGCTGTGAACAAAAACAAAGACCCCTCCGGTCTACTCATCTCTGTCATAAGGTGAGGTTTATATTTACCTAATATATTACACATTGTGTTTGACAGAAATGAAACCGAGCTCGGCTTTTAAAGCTGTAAGGATGGGAGTGACAGCTAGCATTTATGCTAATAGCGAGCTGTCTTAGCAACATCCTTCCGGTATTAGAATGTCATTGTTTTTGTTTTTATTTTAGCGCCTTAACGATCTGTTTTAAGGACATCTGTTGTATATTAATAAAAGTTGTACTTTTTTTACTGTGGGAAAGCGTTAAGTTCAGCAACATTGTTTTATTTCTCTATTGAATGAATTCCATCCCTTGGTAGTTAGGGATCCGAACCAGCTATCCTCCGGTATCGTTCGGTTCATAAAGGGCTGTATGTGACGTTTGCGGTTGTTGTGTTGTGGCTGTGTTCAATATAAAATGCGTCATGTTTGGATTCCCTCAGTTTATAATACCTTAAACTCATTGCACAATAAACACTCAAGTGTTTGTGAAACCTGCTATCTAACATTTTTTTCTACGTTCAAGAATTGATAAATTGATTACTTTGGTACGTATTTATACTTCCATTATCTCGCATGTAGGACTCTGTCCAGCAGTGATGATGTGCAGGACAGAGAGACCGAAAAGGGTCGTCTCGAGGACGCGTTCGAGACGTGTGACAGACATTTGGACGAGCTTATCGTTCAGCATTATGCAGAACTCACCACTGCCATTCGGACCTACCAGAGCATCACAGAGCGCATCACCAGCTCACGGAACAAGATCAAGCAGGTATAAATTCCTCCACAAAAAAAAAAGAGAAAAAAAATCTTCCAGAAGGATTGTGACATATCTACACCCTTCCTCCTGAAGGATTGTGACATATCTACACCCTTCACAACTGTTATTCATGACATGTACTTTTTATATATTAAACAATTAAATAATAAAAACAAGTTTTTATAAGACTGTGGTGCACAAGCCAAACTGTGCTCTGTGGAACACTTACGTTAACGTTAGTACAGTTTTTATATACAGACCATTCTCTGTGTCCTGCAGGTGAAGGAGAACCTCCTCTCTTGTAAGATGCTGCTTCACTGCAAAAGGGACGAACTGAGGAAGCTGTGGATAGAAGGCATTGAACACAAACACGTCCTGCAGCTGCTGGATGAAATCGAAAGCATTAAGCAGGTGCCTCAGCGGCTGGAGTCCTACATGGCCAGCAAACACTACCTTCATGCCACGGACATGCTGGTGAGTGGACCAGATATTCAGACGCGTGGCCCCTGGAGAAATATCACAAATATGTGTGTGAGAAGTCCATCATTGGACTTGTGATACAAATGGGATTTTTTTCCTGCTCACTTAGAGTAGCATTCGAAAAATACATAAAAAATTCATTAAATAAATACATTTTGTTGCTGAAGTTGGAAAACATTTCATGAAAGCAAAACACAAGGTTGTATGATGTTTTTTTAAAAACTAAATAGATTTTGCATTAGTGCCTTTCAGCCTATTAAAATCTTTTTAAATTAAGGGTGCATAGACAACACTCCCTTTGACGGGTGCTTTTCCGTGTGTTCAGCGGTGAAGCTGGAAGACTAAATGGCCAAGTGCTGATCATTAGAATGCCTTTGTTTTTCCTCCTCCCTTTTCTTATTATTTTGTTATAATTAGTTTGCTGCAATTGGTCGCTCGTTATTTATAAGGAGCTTGTTGTGCCACACAGAGAGGTAATCATTTCATCATTCAAATACAATCATTTTGCATGAAAAAAGTGTGTGAAGTTTAAAGTCAGTCGTTTTACTCAGTGTTGTAATCAGTGTAAACAAACACATTGTAAAAAAAAAATTCAAATTAAATTCAGGATGTTACCTTCAAATAAGTCTCACTTCCTCTCCTCGTGGCCTCTGGACTCTACTGCTCCCCCCTTTTCTCCTCCGCATATACTTCATTACACTGACAGCAGTGGTCTCTTAATGATGTTAACAGTCTTCCTCTGTCATCTCAGCCCAGTCATAATTGTTGTATTAAACCCCCCACACACAGACACATAATGGTAAATGATTTACAGTCATATAACACACACTGTTCCACTAAACTGAGCGACTGATCAACCAACATGTTAGCTCATCCTGTCATTAATGCTGCTCTTATTTGCATCCAGGCATGTTTCACCTTTGTCCTCCTCTTTCCTTCCGCTCAGCCCTGCTGAGCAAATTTTCATGCAATGTTGCCATTAGTGCTATTAAAGCACACAAACATGCCACAAATACACACGAACAAAGACAGGCATATTTTACTTAATGGCATTAGAATTTATTAATTGTGTGCCGCACGCTACGATCGCTGTTGCTCTCGCTAATTAAAGTTAGGGATAAGGAGAGGGAGGGAGTCGGAAATGAGGTGCATGACTCAGCAGCACAGGAGGAGGCTTTGTATTATTTTAAATTAAAATATTCTGTGTTTCTGTAGGCTGATTGTGAGTGTTAAAAAAAAAAATGGATTTCATTTTTTTTCCAAGTAATGATGCCTCGCAGGGAGAGCAGTTATGCTAAAAGTAGATGTTGTTGGTGTCATTGTTTCTTGTTTTTCTATTAAAGTTTAAGCTTAATGAGCCGCAGAACCATAACATACATTTAAATGACTACAATCCTGATTCTTATCACTGCATCCTGCCCTGTCTTGGTTATCCCTCTGTCAAAATGAGGTAAGCTGGTGTCAAAAAAAGTCACAAATTTGCAGCAAAGCTTTGATAAAAAACACAATTTAAAGTTTAAAGCTTTGGACACTGGTGTTTTGTCGAATGCAGGTGTCGGCTGTGGAGTCCTTGGACGGCCACCTGCTGCAGGTGGAGGGACTGTCGGACCTCCGCTTGGAGCTACACAGCAAAAAACTCAACATCCACCACGTCCTCATTGATGAGCTGCACAGACACCTCTATATCAAGTCCACCGGCCGGGTGGGACACAAAAACAAGGACAAAAATGCTACTCGTCTTCCAGGGTAAGGAAGCTCTGATTTATTTATTTATTTTAAATTGGGTTTTAAGTCAAACAAAACATACTCGTAATTATTTTTCGTTTTCTCATCTTCTGTTTTGATAGAAGATGAGAAAACGAAAAATAATTATGAGTATTATAGCACCGTATGAGGCAATTCATGAACAGATCCTACACCGAAACTCGGTTTGATTTTTAATTTGGTGAACCTCTGTGTT